CACTGAAAAGGCAGCTGCCGAATATGTTGACCAGAAGCACCACGAGGTGTCGTTTCTTCAGAATGAGCTTGCAACTCAACTCGCAGGTAATATGTGTGTTCAAATGCTCCCTTTCTCCAAAATATTCCTTTTGGCATTCGTCACGTTCACTGCAGTGCACGATTAAAGCAACGCAAAAGCGATTCCACTTATACATCAAGAGTGCACTTGACGCACATGCTTCACACGCTTGCGTAAAAGTGTGTGTGCAACGTCTACTTAAGTGCTTGTGCGCGCGTAACGCAACTCACGCACATACCAGTATGTGCGCAGAGGAGTGAGAACGTATGCAACGTATGAGACCACAGAAATTGCAGCTTATCTGTTGAAGGATGCGTTTATTGTGTATGTCCGCAGGAAACAAGCGTCTGGAGGAGGAAATCGTGCGGCTACGAGAAGTGCTGAGTTCTTCTCAGCAAAAGGCTCAAAGCCTCGCAGCAGAAAATAGTCAGCTAAACTGCAAGGTGGCGGACTTTTTGAAAGACCTTGAAGATGCCAGAGACAACCCGTCTCGTTTCGCTCTGCTGATGTCTCGTCTTCGAGCAGCAAACCAAAAGGCGACAATCGAGAACAAACGTCTTAGGTAAAACAGCGCAGCCATACTGGGTGTGACCACTTGCCGTTAGCTGCCAAGTAGAGCTGGCGTACCTGGGAGTAGGTGTGACTACTGCCCACTGCACACTGCTGTGCAGTCTACTTACAGTCCACAGAAGTCACTGGAGTTTGATTGCACGTACGCTGTCTATTCATGCTGGCTGAAAAGACAACGCCGCGGCTACTGCATCTGCAAAGGCAACTGCATATAAATAGTTCTCTAGAGACTCCTTTTTTCAGGGAGGAGAACGCCTCTTTGACGCAAAACTTCCACCAACTTGAAGAAAAGTTCAAGGAAAAGGTGGGATATTTTGCACTGTGCAGATATCTGTGCATCGCCAAAGTCATCATGCTTTGCCATTTTGCTGAACCCAAACGAACGGCGAACGTGGTTGTGATGAATTACTTAAGGACGACAGCTTCTATCGCTCATCTTGACGACTCTACGGCACGTTTTGAAAGGCTGCGCCAATTTCCAGGTTTCAATTTTACTAAGGCTGGTTACACAGTGCTATTTACGTGCAAAAGATTTTGTGCTATTGGTGGAACTATCGTTGACTTCTTTGGTCCAGGTTGTTCTTATTCGTCAAATAGCCGAAAGAGGAGACATTTTCGATCTATTGCGGAAGTGGCTGACTTGCAGCGAGCGCAAGGTCAGTTCCACTGGCGGATGCATTTTTGCCGATCCTCTCGGTTAGCCACCGCATGTCGATTTACGGGAAATTATGTCCCCTATAACTCTTCGTGAAAATGCAGACTGGCCGCTGCGGATGGTGCTAAATGGTCACCTATTGGAAAGAGCAATTTTTTCTACGCTTTCCCACTTCCTCAGATCCTGTTTTATGAACAAGGATACAAATGGACTGCGCAGCAGGAAGAGGATGAGCTCAACAAGTCAGCAGTTGCATTTACAGTATCTGACGCTGTCTAGATATTCCCTTTTGCGGCTTGACTCGATGACCTGACAAAGCGGCGAGTCGCCTGAAGCTAGGGGACACTGCATCGGCGGTGAAAGTTGTGTCAGTATTGTGGATGTAGAGCGTCCGGGTGATACGATTTACCTTCAGAATCGAAGAGCTACAACGTGCCATCCGGGTGGCCGAGGCTGCAGCTCGATCGAGCTACATATCCCACCGCGCATTTCTTTTAGGCGAGCAGCTGAAAGCGTGCACCACAAATTCGTCTTACGGGGACATCTACTTCTTCCTGAAGGTGGTAAGCGTTGACAGCAGGGAACCGCATGTGGCGTCATTCTGTAGACTCTCCTGGTGTCTTCTATGAACTCGATGTTAAAGAAATAAGTGTAGTCACGCTTTCGAAGGAGCATCATGGACTTCTTTTCTGCTATCTGAGGCTCTGCCGAGGATAATGGTGGTGACTGCTCAAGGCTGTTCTTTCACAGGAGCATTACAAAGGCATCGTGCCAGCCTTGTACACAAAATATTCTGAGAATTATGGAAATAGGACAGGCTTGTTGCGGCTGGGAATTCGAATGTTTCGATTTTTTTGTCATCTGAGGAATGTAGTTGTAAAGTTGTGTGCTCCAAATGCAAAGTTTGCATCATCATTCAGACTTTTTGTGTGGTTTGCCCCGAATACATCATGGTGCCCTGTTTAGGCGGAGCGTATGCCTGCATGTGTGTAGACTCTAGAACGATTTGGATGGCTGTTTGGTGATGTTGAGCCTTACCAGCCAACAGACGAGGACAATCGAGAAGTTCCCTTCTGGAGAGATGCAGGAGACCGTTTTGCGCCCATTCCTCTGCGAGAGCAAATCTACCCGTTCGGAGGTCAGTCTAAAAACATAGAGACTTCGATATATGCCACTTTGCTAGGACAGCATGAAGTAGCTGAAACTATAGCGTGCCTTGCGAAAATGGACACATATGTGCGAACTTTGCCTAGCCAGACGCAGTTGAAATAATTTAAGTAATCAGCACAAAGGAGTTTGCAAATTTACTGCCCTAAAAGCAAACAGCCGTGTGCAAGAGCAAAGAGAAAGCCTCTCACCGCGATGTGCTGCTCGGCTAGTCGATCTCGCCAGTTTTTCAAACAGGGGTATACATGGCCTTCATTTTTATAAACAAGTCATTAAGAGACTAACGGATGTAAGCAGCTAAGCAATGACTTCCCTTATTGCGCGGCAACAGGTCTAGAAGGCGGCCCTCAGCTGAGTCTGGTGCCTGACGTGTGCGTGCTACGCTCCGTGGAAAAGTTGGTGCCCGCTGGGGAGTACATGAAGCTGAAGAACACGCATGCCTTGCTTGAACTGGACTTTTCCGAACTAAAGGAAGTACATCAGCAGGCAAGTAGCTTTCATTGAAGCTGAGGGCTCCCGCCAGTGGTTCGGTAGCTGCTGTACAAGACACGAACAACTACGTATATTTAGCGTCATAGAGTCTGCATCTGAAGGGGAGTGACCTGTGTTCTCGAGGCCATCAAGGAAGAACGTGGTTAGCTGTTGGGTCTGCTAGAATGCGCTGCAGACTGTCGACAAACTCGTGGAGTGTAGAACACGCATGAGAGATTTGAAAACTCAGTAAGTCACGTCGCTGCAATTTGCCTGTGGCACTTCGTTGTTTCTCCCTAGGTCTGTTTGGCCTCACTTTCAGCCCTCTAGACGTATAAACCTATGCAGACGGTAGCTTACGCATTACGTCTGCCTACGCTGTTCCTGTCATGCACCGGTGCAGGTGTGCCCTCAACCAGGCATCCTCCGAATGGAAGTTCTTCACTGCACACCAGGCTGCCTTAGTCGACGAAACAGCAGTAGAGGAGGAGGGAGACGCAAAAACAAATGGAAGACCTATCGCTTAGCTTGGGCCCCTCCACGCGCATTAAGTACACTATAAAAACTGCTGCTGCAAAAGAAAGGTTGGTGATTCGCCTGCACGTGAGTATGACTTCCGCAGTTGCAGCGCTAGTTTGCAGAACGCCGCTTCTTTGGCATTGTTCCGTAATATCGGAAGGTGCTTGGGAATTGTGCGGCAACGTTACACCGTTTCCGTAGTTACATATTTTCTTTTTCATTTCTATGCATTTCTCCGATTCCGGGCATTTAGTGCACCGCTCGTCAAACTCCAGTGCTCCTTATGAACAATTTTGTTTAACCAGTGTGGCGTTGAGAATCCACTAGATTTAGGGGTAATTCGGGCCGATGGGTTCGTGAGTTGGCGGTGTCCCTCGTTGCCGATAGCTCCGGTTCAGCTCATTGACACTCGCTGCCACCCACAGATAGAGATAGTAGCCATCCGTTTACAGAGAATTGTCATGTAGAAATTCACGTGCTATGCTGTAACGGGCCCGCGTGCCACCGCAAGACAACTCCAAAATATGCTCTACAGGGAGCAAGCAGTAATTCTCCGTCAACGCCACAGGATACGTACTTTCCACGGATTTCCCATAAGAGTTCTCCACATTTAGCCCAATAGAAGTAGCAATGAAGTGCAGAGATTTGTGCAGACGCTGTGGGTTGCCCCACCATTCCGATGGAAAGTGGCTTTACATGTACTCTGGAGCCCGGCGAAAGCCCAACAGCTTTGAATTCGGTCTTTAAGGAATTTACAGGGAGAAGGGTGGCCATTAGTATAGCCGGTTTTTAGTTTTCTACAACTTCAGTTAAATTAAATCTTGTGGGCTGCGCGCGAAGCTCCTGCTTGCAGCGTGTAAAGTCGTGCAGCTGGGAACAGTACACTGCAAGGGGTGGAAGGGATGCTAGACAATAAGGCGGAGGGAGTAAACGGAGCTCTGAATTCCATTACATACAAATCTTCTTCCACATTCTTCATTTCTCGCCCCATGACTAGAACTGTGTACGAAGATTTTCTTTGGAAGCCACCATTAGGTAATTGCATGCGAGAAGCCCTGTGACTGGCTACAGGGTACAGGTCATGAGTCTCGTCTCTAGTTGCTGGAAACGGAACAAAGGACTCAACTTCTTTTCAAAGTGGCGTAACTGTATGCCTATTATTTCACTTGGCTCGCTGGGATACTCTGGGCTTTAGTCCCAAGGCGTCAACGGGGCTGCTGTCGATCACGTGCAAAACACGCAGAACATCTTTTTGTTACTTTTTGCACAACTTCTGCGTTTGGTAGCACCTGTGCAACAGCGAAATCACGGCAGGGCTCTCCAAGGCTATCTGGTGAGGACACTGCATGCTTGCGCTGCATAGGGGAGGCAGCAGCATTGCTTTGTCTTCGGCGTGAAAAAGCATTGTAAGCTCTCGAGTAGCTGCTTTTACTCAATACGCTTTGAGTAGAATTCCAAGGGGCTGAGGGCCCCCCTATGCTCGGTGACATTGGCGGGGCCGTAAGGGCCCCTCTCTCTTCTGGCTGCCTTGAACCGCCAGTGTTGCTTCCTGGCCCTGATGCCATCAGTGAGCGACGAAACATCTGCTAAAACAGATTACCGGAGCCCTCCGAAAGCTACGGGGGAGCCCGCTCACACTACTTCTCCTGCTCACGGTGCTGGAGGGGGCCCTCTTGCAGCAGTTTCCCCTGGGGGAGCCTCCGTTTCAGCAGAAGGTGATGATCTACTTCGCCGTATGCAGTCTGCATTGGAGGAGGATGACACTGTGGACATGCTGTTGCCGTCTCTGACGGCACTTCACGTGCTGCCTTCCTCGACTAGCGATGTGGCTTTGGGCCGGATGGGTGCTGACACTGGCAGTACAATTTCTGAACTGTTGCAGTGCAAAGGGACATCAGTAAGAGGGGGCAGTAGAGATATCGTGGGCGTAACAGTGGCTGAAGATGACCCTAATGCCCGGTCGCGCAACTTAGGGCTGGGGCTTGCTGCTCTACATAAGCTGCAGCAGCAGCAACGCATGGCACAGCAGCAGCAACAGGAACGCCAGCAGAAGAAACAGATACAGAGTGAGCATGCCGCAGCTCGTGATGGTGGCGGCGCTGAGAGGGAGGATCTTTTGGAAGCGCAGCAGCAGCAACCGCAACTGCAGCAACAGCGTGTTTTGCCCCCTTTCCGTGAACACAATCTGGACGAAGCTCCCGAGCAGCCGCGGGTGACGAGCAAGTCCTGTGTTCCTCACAAGGAGGCTACGCATCACATGGAACAGCAGCGGACTGAAAATGGGGAAAAGCAGGATACGGAGATGCAGGGTCAGCGAATAGGGGTGCATGAGCAGCAGCAACTTAATGTGGGAGAAAAGAGTCAGCATTTGAAACTTGAAGGATCTGTACAGGTGTCTAGCGGGCCTGAGCTCTTGGAGCCTTTAATTCTTTCGACTACAGTGGCTAATGGCTCAGCAGCACAAGAACTAGACACGCAAGCAGCAGCATCAGCTGTAGCCCCCGGAGCAACTGTAGCCCCCGCAACAACTCCTGAGACGAATCTTCCATCTGCCGCGGAGCCTAGTGAAGAGAGTGCACCACTAGCTTTCCTAACAGCAGCTACAGCTACGGCATCGACGAAACTGAATTCTGGATTCACGCCGGCACGTGAGGAAGTCTTGGCGGATACAGAAACTAACAAGGGCTCCCTCTTAGAGTTATCATGTCCTCCGCAGAGTCCTTCGGCACCACCGAATCCGCGATCGGCTACCACGGAAAGTGACAGACTCTCATCAGTGGATCCAGATAAATGCTTTTCAAAGGAGGCAGAGTCAACAACGCAACAGCCCGGCGAAGTAGAATGCTTTGCAGGAACTTTGCCAGAAGATGCGGCAGAACCAGCTGATGCAAAACCTACAGCAGAAGCGAACCATGAAGGAGGCATAGGGATGCCATACTCGTGTTCTCCCAAGTCTGTTAGTTGCTTGCCTCCCCGCACAGCAGAGGAAGAGGTGGCGCTTTGCGCTGCGGGGGGTCCAGGTGGCCCCGAGGAAGCTGCAGTAGTTGCGGAGGCGGAAACAGTAGGCGAGTTGCTGCGCAGCTTGCACCGGCAGGTGCAGCAGCTACCTCAGCAGCATGAGCATACCGGCGGAAGGCCGTCGGCCATAGAGACCTTGGGCAGAATTGAGCAGCGGTTGCGGCTTGCCTTAGAGGCTGTCGATGCTGATGTAGCAGCGCTCCAGCGAGAGGCAGCAGCAACGGCAGTAGCAACTGTCTCTTCAGTGGGTTATTCAGCAGCACCGCGGTCTGGCAGTCCCTCTGAGGACTCAGGGCAGCAGCCACAGCAGCAGCGCGAGGCTGATGTGCCCCATGGGGATGAAGGGGATATAGAGGATGAAGAAGGCTTTAAGGGCGCAGATTCAGGAGACGGACCCAATGCAACAGCCGCAGCTGCAGCAGCAGCGGCGGCAGCTGCAGCAGCAGGAGCTACAGCTAACGTGACAGGGTTGTGGTCGCATCCATGCCGCGCTTTGCTTCGGGCAGCGCTGCAGTCAGCGGGACGCCAGCTGCCTAAGGGCAAACGGAGGGGTGCTCGCGGGGCCCCACGGGAATGGGGAGAAGCAACAAGGCATCGGCCACCACTTGACGTTCTGTGTCTTGCCGCCTCTCAAATGAAGGCTGAGTGCAGCCTCACTCCAGAGGAGGCAGCCGCCGCTGCTGCTGCTGCTGCCGTAGCAGCCACAGCTGCTGCTAATGGATCCGAAGCTGCCGCTGTCGCGGCTGCAGCCGCAGAAGTGCTGCTGCCGCTGGATGCAGCAGCAGCAGCAGGGGAGAATGTGAAGAGGGTCCCGTGGTTGCCAGCTGAGGGGCCCATGGTTGACAGTTTGGCTGCTGCAAACCATTCACAGGCTTTTGCCGCTGGGCTCCCGTTATTACGTGAAATTTGCCGCGTTGCTACTGTCGAGCTCCGCATCCGTCCGCCAGCTGCTGCTGCTGCTTCCACAGCTGGTGGTGGTGGATTAGCCGCCACCGCCGGATCTGTACCACTTGGCGCCATAGGGGGGCCCATTGGTATTGCGGGCTTGAGGCGATTGGGGCTTCCAGGAGATCAGCCGCTTCACCATCGAGGCCCTTTATGGGTGGACCCTCCTCCAGCAGACGACGACGACGAAGGGCTTCGAGGCTCGCCACCTGTTGCAGGGTCGTCATCATGTAATGAGCAAGTCATGCTGTTTCTTAGGCGGGATTTGTTTCCACGTCAATGGCTGCAGTGGCTCCAGGAACAGCCAGTGTGCTGCAGGGCCCAACTGCTGCTGCCTCCTGGATACGAGGAGAGCGTGCATAACGACCCTGATCCTCTTGGCGCCAATCGACACTCCCGTGATCCCGCTCAGCCTGTTTTGAGGCTTAGGAGACTTTGTGTGCGCTCTTCCGCCAGGGTGACGGAGCAGGCCACCACGGAAGCAACAATGGAAGAAGCGGAGCCAGCCGCAGCACAACGAGTGACAAAAGGATTAACAGAGATAGAAAGGACAGCAGCGACAACGGTGCCTCGCTCAGAGGACGCAACGAAGGCTGAAGAGAGGAACCTTGAGGGCCCGCTGCTGATAGATGACGCTCTGACGCTGATACGGAAACAGCAGAGACGGCAACAGGATGCCTTAGAGCAACTCCTGCAACAGTTAAAACATCTGAGTAGAGGCGTAACAATGCAGCAGCTCGTGCTGCTTGCGTCAATTGTGGATTCCATGGATGCAGCAGATGCGGCAGCAGCTGCGGCAGCCGTCGGGGACCCAGATACTGCTCTCTTTACAAACGAGAACAGCAATTCAGCCAGCTCAACAGCAGCAGCGTGTACAAATAATGGTGAGGGCGTGCAGCAGCAGCATGCTCAGCAGATAGAGCGACTCCAGAAACTTCACGAGTGGCTCGGGTTGTTCCCTCGTTATGGAATATCTGCGGGACGCGCTGTTGCGTTGCTGGCAGCAGCAGGAGAGCAGCAGCAGCAGGATCAACTGCAACCTGAGGCAGAGTTCATAGATATCAAGCTGACCTTTGGTAGCCTCATGCCTTTCCCAGATGAGGATCCTGGCGTAATCGCTGCATTCTCCCTACCCTATAGACGGGGGCCGCAGCAGCCGTGGACGTGGGATTTGAAAATACTAGAGGGCGCCCTTCACAGCGGCCAGGGACCTTCGTGGGGCCCTTACAGTATCCAGACAGTTGGGCAAAGGATTTCTGAGAGGCAGCAGCGCCTGAGTTTTCTCCTGCGGCAGCAGAAGATCGTCTGCAAAGCCATGTACAAGGCGTGGAGAAGGTACTTCCTAGCTCTGCAGTTCTGCGCTGCACAGTCCATCTTTTGCTGTTCGTTTTGTACGAAAGTTCATTTCCCGGACACTTGGGCTGCAGCGTTGTGTGTATGCACGCTTTGAAGCCTATATGTGCAGTTGTTTACTTGTATGTACATGCTTGGTGTCTTCAAGTCAGGCACCCCCTGTGTGCCACCGTGCTTCTTGGGTGTGCTATTCGCCCGTCTTTTTGAGTTGTTTTCTTCACTTCGCGTTTAAAATTGCTTTTCCATCCCAACCATTGCGTTTCCATACATTTACCACTGTGCGTTTTTTTCATGGCAGTGCGCATTTTGCGGACGCTAACTCCACAGCGACTGCATTATTGCGTGGTCGCACTCCGTCTGGATTCCGGTTAGCTAAATTTGCTTACATTTTTGTATGTGTGTCTATGTGCGAACTTACTTGTCAGTATGGTCACGCGTCGGTCTGCAATATCTGTTCGTTATTTGCTTGCTAATTTTTGCACTGCAGCCACCGTCGTCAGCTCGAAAGGCGCCGTCTGCTATCGGGCGATGTGTTTGGGTGGGGGGTTCTCCCGGTGCGTGCAGTAGACCATCCGTCTCTTTTGATGGCGCTACCTGCGGGCTTCCGGCAGGGAAATCCCAGAGAGCCATATGAGAAACAGTACAGCAGAGATTTGCAAGACGATGCAAACGGTGGCCACGACAGGTCGCGGAGGCAAACGGACGTGTCGGGTAGGGCCTGTTTGCTGCTTGCTCTGCAGCTGCACGTCACGGAGTTCGACAGCTTGGCGAGCAATTGTTGGTTATTTTGACTTTATGTCATGGGAACCGTAGTCGTCTTGAATTTTGTGGAGGCTCAGAGGTGGTTTATAGTGACGAATGGATGTGTGCGCCTTCAACACTCAGAACATAGGAGGTACTTGCATTACATGAGTGAAGGCCTTAACCTTCTCTTTGGTTCGTTGCAGGGCGGCGAACCCTACGTGGGGATGCATGCAACGATCGTCAAAGGGCGAAGGAGGAAGCAGCGAGCCGCGAGAGCAAGAGGGAGTGGATGCAGGCTAACTTCTCTAACCTGACGGGACCAGGAGTGTTTTGGAGAGATTCTTGCCTCTTTTCTCAGGGCCAAAGTCTTAGGCAAAGACTGCAAAAGCAACAGGAAGGTGGTGGCGGCGTTCATCCCATTGATCTGCTGCAGACTGATCCAGATTGGGCTATCTTCGATTGGGAAAGAGAATGCGGATACACCTGCAACAGCACAAGAGTAAGCTTCTTGGTTGTTTGATAACAGAATATGAAAGCAAGTACCCCAGTGCCCCGCTAGTCTTGCATTCTTTTGTGTAAGTTCTCCTGGCGTGTCATACGCAGTGGTGCGCACGTATAGTCGAGTGCGTTATGTCCACCTTTATGTTCGTGCATGACCGTTGCACATGCCTGTACGCATGTAGATTCATTTAAACCCTTGAATGATAGTGGTGCAGAAATATTATGAGTGTGCGTTGGATAACTACTTAACTGGGTGGCTTCAATGCGTTTTTCACAGGTGTTTACTCCTGTCGAGGAAGAGGCAGAAAGGAAAGCGGTCACAGTTTGGGCGGAGGCTGAGGCGAGGACGTTCGTGGAGAAGTATCTCATGTACCCGAAGAATTTTGAAAAGATTGCAGCTTGCCTGGACGGAAAAACCACTCGAGACTGCGTCGTGAGAGAATATTAGTTCAGCTCTAGATCGTCCCCTGTTCAAGCAGTTAGCTTTTCTTCGATAGGTACAAATCAGCTATAGTTCGGTAATTATACCAGTATATGCGGAAAGCACGAACAGCAGTGATCCCTTTGGATAGCGTGAGGATTGGTTTTCAACATTTTACTTGGATGCGCCACTTGTCTGTATGTGCATCACGTAGAGGAGACCTAATATGTTCAGAATGCACAGCCTTTGTGTGTGAGACTTTGGAGCGCTTGCTGCGGCTTACGTGCCTGTGTGGTCATGTATGCGTGTCGGTGCTGGCGTTTTTTGTACCTGTGTTTACTGTGCGGCTGCAAGTAATGCTCGCCCAGTTCTCTACGTGTACAGATGTGAATGCTCGGTGCTCCTGTGCCTGTTTCTTTTATTTCGTGACCTCGACGTAAGTGTATTGGGCTTCTTCGTAGGATTTTTACTACCGCTTCAAGTTCAAGTTTGGGCTAAAGCGGCGACTGCAAGAGTTGGAGGATGGCACCCGTGTCAAGAAGCGGAACAGACACATTGGTTCAAAACAAATACGCAGAGAGGAGCTTGTAGCTGAAGTAGGGCTTTTGGCATTCAGTTATCACTACGATGTTCAGAATGGCAACTTCTGGCTGTACTTTGGAGTGGGAGAAGGCGATTTTCCTTCTTATCCGTTGGCCACGGCTTCCTCAAGATGTTTAAGAGCGTTGCTTTTCTGTGCACTTTGTGTTCACACATACGTCTTGTGTGGTGCTTTCCTTAAAGCCCGGTTAACTCCCACGTCCTACCTGCAGAGTTTTACCTGCAGAAGAGGATAATGTAGAGGCAGCAAGCTGTGAATGACATGTGGAGATGCATATCTTTGCAGGCTGTTTCTGGCTTATCGTCGGAGTGCGAGACAGAGCTGATGAAGCGATTCAATGGACAGAATTTTTTGCCATTTGATGCCTTTAGCGATCATCTGCTTCACCGGGAAGCGCTGCAGACGACTCTCAAGGTGCAATGTTTTCACTTTCTCTGAATTGTTTGCTTTCTTTTCAGCTTTGCCGTTTGAATGTCAACTGCTGCTTTGAGAACCTGTTGGATTGTGAGATTTAGCAAAATGATGCTGCTTCTGTTTTCTGCGATTCATTTGTTTTGCGCTGAAGGACCCGGTGGGCTGCCGTGGGGAGGAGTGGGTAGAAGGCGACAGCGACAGCGCTGAGGTGTTCGTTGAAAATATGAGCGATGGATACTTTCTGCCGGCTTCAACCAAGGGCATTGTGGTCCCGGGCAGGGCTGTCAGCGTTCCAAACGAAATACCTTTGTGGGGTCCGCCTCAGCGGTCATTCGTGCCTGGCTGCTTGCTGGTAGATCGACCTCAGCATTCGCATCAAGAGGGAGCGGATGCAGATGCATCCTCCCCTGCATCTGGACTTCCTCTTACCTTGAAATATCATCAACTCGACACCCTTCTCACGTGTGTGCAAATAGCATCCCGTAGATTTTGCCCACAGGAAGAAGATGGACCCTCTTACATGACGCGTTCCCGCGCTGCTCGGTCTCGACCTGGGCCATTCGGGACGACAGTGGGAGGCCCCACTCTGCAGCAATTTAATGCTGGATGGGGGCGTTTTGGTGCCGTTGGTGGTCACAGTGGGCATGCGGGTCCTGTCGGCACTGGGCAACTGTCTCCTGTATCCAGGGTCGTTGACTCTTTGGTGGTGCGACTTAAAGGGATTGTGCGAGGAATGCAGCACACTATACGCACTGGGTCAAGGGAAAGAAGGCGATCTCAGACTGACGATCCCGAATCGGGGGCGCCACCAGTTCCAACCAGTCCTGCTTCCTCCCTGAAAATCAGTGGAGAGGAGCTGCCAGCGCCAACTCTTGAATAATAAATAAATATGAGTATATAGAACGGTAGTGATGTTGGAACAGTCTGCTACTTTGTAGCAGGGGCCTCACTCACGGGCTCATTGGACAAGTTTAGGTTCTATGATAGAGTATAGTCCATTGACAGTTGCGAATAGTGCTCAGCATGTACACGATGCTGGCATGTGTTGTATCCCCTACTTGCCACGATTACACGGAGCCAGAAAAGCATTTTTCTTGAGTGTTGCAAAATTCATAGGCGGCAAAGCACCAGGGACTAAGCGGAGGCCTGTCTATCTAGCTAGCGAGTTGTGTGGTGCAGGACGAGCCAAGCAAGTGAAACGGCCCCTTGGGGGCCGCGGTAAGTGCAATAGTTAGTCAGGTTTTGCGCAGCGCGAGCGTGGATAATATAACGAGCTGGAGCAATATATTGCTCCCTTCATCACCCCTGAACTATGGCACTTGAGCCAGGGTGGAAGCTACAGTCGGCACGCTGTAGAGAGAACGGAGATTATACAAACTGCACTTCATTGCTCTTTTCCCGAACGCTTGGGCGCTTCTGGGCCAGTTACAAAAAAGTCACTTTACTTGGAAGCTGTGGCGGGTCCTTAGGCTACTACTTGGCAGTAGCCGGCGGCGTGGGCCCACAAACGTCTCTCAACAGCTGTCCTCTTAGCCACATGACAGAATGCACTGTGGGCATCACTACATCAAGTTGGTGCTTTCATGATGTCAGCGATTCCGGGGGTGTCCACTGAGTGCTTGCACTCGTGGATTTGCCTCTGCGGCCGCCATGGGCAGATGCCCCTGGGCTGACTGAAGCAACAGTGCTTGGACTTCATGAAGGATATCCCTGAAGTGTGGACGGCTTTTTGCGGCGGCCTGTGACTCTAATGATTTCACAGGAGCGCTACTAGCGTTCAGCTAACGCCTTAAATGCAGTGGCTGCTCACCAATTTTCCGCCGAACTCCGGGCTCTTTGAATGGTATAAAAACTTATGCGATTCTTTTTGTTATTCGTGTACAACGGCGGAGTCACACACAGGTAGCAGGGACAATAACAAAACCGCATGCAATCGACTGCTCGCTGCCAGTGGAAACGCCAGTGGTCGGGAAGGCAAACTCTCAGTTATGGGAGTCTGCAGGCCCAAGTCAGTACAAAAAACAATAAAAAGTCAAGAGGATGTATCTGAGTGAAGAAGAAACATAACAGATGCTATTCGGTTGCAGAGTACAGCAAGAAAGAGTGAACCTGGCTCACCTGTGGGTGCATCAAGCTGTTCTATCATCACCGCTCTTCGTTGACGCTCATTGGCGAATGCAGTGACTCTGGAACCCGCATTCTCCTCTGTTTTTCTAAGAACCGGATTACAGTTCTTACTTACTCATCTTCAGGTAGGCTCAACAAAGAGTCCTATTGAGACTGATAGCAATGGTCCGCCTGGCGCTTGGACCGGCCGTGGCTGTCGGTATTCCATGTTGCGTGCAGTGCTGACTGAGTGGTTCGGTTTTGTTGCTGTATATAATTTGTTTGGATAGCTGAGAACAATAGGGTGTGGACTAGCTGAATTTCAGACCTGTCGCTGGGAACGGAAGTCGAGTGTGCACTGACGCGCCGTTAGCGGAGCGGAGAATTGTGCTTCTTACACCCGGGGGCAAATTCACGTTATATTTCGGTATGTACTGTGTTTGTGGTGTGTTATTGACAGCATACACTCTGCGAAGGTGCGAATGATGATAGTCGGTGCGTTACTACGTTGCTGCAGGACTTCCCAACTGGATTCATACTAGCTTGCTTGCAGATCTGAGGAGATGTCGCCCGACCCTCGCCTTCGAGAAGCCTTTGCTCTTTTTGACCGAGATGGTGATGGTGAATTGACGTCCAGCGAGGCCCTGCTCGCGATTCGCTCCATAGGTGTCGTCGTGAATGCAGACGAAGCGAATGGCATTCCTGCCGTGAGCTCACACCAGAATACTGTCGATTGTTTGCAGCGCTACGGAACTCAGGATTGTTGCTTTTTTGTAGAAATGCCCACCTACTTTGAGGAAGTTGAGCGCCACGGATGCCATGCAGGAAGTGCCTAGTTTGTGTTTCGATGTTACAGTCGATGTCGTGGGACCAGTTTGAGAGCTGGGTTACGAAGAAATTGAGCGGTTCCAACCCGGAAGCCGACCTTATCAAATCATTTAAGGTGTTCGACACAAAGGGCGACGGCACCCTTTCCACTGATGAGCTCATGCAAGTAAGACAGTAGTGACAGTATGCTGTGTAGTCAACTCGCACGCTTTTGGGCACGTTCCCCGGTATGGGGAGGGAGGGGTGTACAAAGAGCTGGCTAATAGTGGATTCACCGGCACATGCTGAATAGCCCTGTTCGCGGTGCCAGTTAATTGTGCATGTGTTTCTTCTTACGGGCGCTCCTCAGCATAGATTGGTGCGTTGATGCTCCTGCAGGTTATGAAGACCCTTGGGGATCTACTGACGGACGAAGAGGTGGAGAAGATGGTGCAGGACGCCGACCCCAGTAAGTCGGGTCGGATTAAGTACGCGGAGTTTGTGAAGGTTCTCTTGAGCAACTAACTTTTGCATTAGCAGAAGACAACTTAGCTTGCTTCAAAGGGCAGGCTCAAGTCTTTGCCGAGAGGGAACGGCGTGCATCCCTATGCGCTCCGTCGGGAGCGTAACCCACCGAGTGCAGTGTCACGTGAGTCGGCAGGTGGATTCCTGAATACCGTGATTGTGCTCGATCAAGAGGCTGTCTGAACATGAACAACCTGAAGAGCAGTGCGTCTGAAGCTTCAGGTGCTGTACCGCGCCATTAGCCGAAGCAGCCACACTAGGACTTCTGTGTCCGCTGAGACGATACCACGGGGGGTACAGGCGAATTTGGGGGACTACGCGCACCAAGGTACAGATAGTCAGAAGCTGAAAAGCAGCGGCCGCAGCCTTTACAAGCGAGTCTGGCGGAACATTCTGCCAGGCATGTCAAGCATGTACCTAACTTAACAGTTTAACTACAACCGTCAGTTTTTTTCCGTGATGAAAGTTCTTCGCCAATATCGAAGTGCCTTTGCGCGTGTTGACGACTGTACCGGTCGCACGCGAGAAGCAAGCCACCTCGCGCCCATTGCTGGGGGCACACGTTGTGGGAAGATGTTATTAGGACGGAAGTTTGTACGAAATGCGGTGCCTAGTGGAGTCACTTGCCCGCGGTCTGTCGGTGGCAGTACATCCTATGCTGCCAGTCACATCTCTTCCCTCTTTTTGTCGTCTCCATCCGTTAAGGGATCGTCACCCACATCGTCCAAAATAGCTTCACCATTGTCCTCTTCGCCTTGAAGAGGGAGCATACGTTCCACCGTTTGTCTGAACTCGTCAGAAAGGCGCACGTGGGGCATTTGGTAGACTTCTCGTAAAAAGTCAAATACGCCTGAGTGTTTCCTGCCAGTGGCTCTCCTGCTAATGAACTCCAGGGGCTCTATCAAGTGCAGAAAGTGTCGGCTTCTCTCGGGTCCGGGGAATCGAAGGATATATTCATGCTTGAGGTAGCCAAACTCGTAGAAGTACTGAACGCGTGAAAACCACTGGGTCAGATGACGCCTTGCACGGTCGATGGCCCGCCCTTTTGCATCCCGCTTCTTCCTCAGTTCCAAAAAATCGAAGGCATAATTCACTACGCCCCTCTCGTCAATGAATTCTTCAAGGATCTCTAGCGCCTCCAGCGTTTTTGAGGAGGAGTACTCTGCGTGCATTGCATTCAGGGTGTTCGCTTGTTGCAACTGCTGAGTTAAAGTCAGCATGTTTACGTAATACCATGAGGTCACAAGCAGACCCAGGAGCGACACAGCCAATGGCCAGTTTACGGTCATTCTCTTCCGGGCACAGACGGCTAAGCCGGGGACCCTGCATTCCACGAGTGGCCGCTGTGCGGTATTTGTCCCCCAGCCCTGCTCCTTAGGCTCAGTCCGTTAGGCAAGATAATGCCCCTTTGCGCACGCAGTGTCATAATAATTCACAGTCTGGAATGCATTGTTGAAGTCTTCGCTGGTTCGGCTGAAGCTCGCCCAACGATGCCGGCAGACCCTTGGTCTTGTAGTGCGTGCACTTCAGAGCGAGACTGTCAAGACTGCGCAGACTACGCTCTTCAAAATAGCTTTTGGAGGAAGAAGAAAGTGCAGGATACAGAAGAAGACTTGTGAAGGTAGCAACGGCACAGGCACCCAATCGGGAGTAATGTAGCTGTGGGTTCGGGCCTTTTCGACGCTGTGCAGTCTGTATGTGTGGTAGCGTTTTAAATGCAGGATGTAATCGAATTATTACAGAAGACTCCATTTTATAACAGTTTTACCCCACGGTCGCCCTACTACTCGCATCCGCGGCTGCATGCGCATGCCCGTTCACTTCTGCTCATCATGCTAAGCGCTACGGAACATAGAAAAAAGCACCATGACATATTTGCTTTATTCTAGAAACACAGTAGTTAAGGCACAACTAAGGCATCCAAAGCCTGTCCCCGGTTGGTTTTGGAGACACGGAGCGCCAGTACCTCTGTCGGGCTGAGTCGGGTGCTGCGGTAGTCCAGAGGTGTTTTCAAGAAAAGTGGGACTTCCACAAGAGGGCTAAGAATAGCTGCATGACCTTTTGTTATGGGTTGCATAAGGCTTGGTGTATTATGGGACATGAGCACTTCCAGGTCATCCTCAAGTTGCGGAACCAGGTATGTAGCTGCAGCATTCAATTCTTAAGAATGGGAGAATGTGCAGGAAGAAGTCTATCCAAGATTGAGTAAAGAGTTTGAAATGTGACTGAAGGAGACACAAAAAAGGCTAATATTCTAGGGATTCCATTAGTGTGGAAGGAGGTTTGTGTCCTGCGGGAAGTTGGGAAGGGTTTAGTTAGGTACAGAAAGGGAAAGCTATTTCATACGGGCAACATAAACTCATAGAGGTTAGGAAGAAAGCAATTGAAATGAATTCGAAATCGTCCCTGCGCAGGCCTGTCGTGTGCAAGAGTGCAGTAGGT